GGTGCACGCGCCCATAGAGAATCGGAACTGCGCATGCGCCCGCCCCAAGATACTTTGCGGCCGTACGAGCAGTTCCTGATTCTCGGCGCGGGAGCGCGCAGCGATAACGAGGTAAGTTCAAAATTATTTTAAGCGTTTTTTTACACTTCTTGCCTATATCTACTGCTTGCTAGCAGTAGATACAAGCAAAAAAAACCGGAGGGTTTAGAACCCCTTTAAAAAAGGTACAAAAACCCTCATGAAAATCAACGTGCCAATGAACAGAATTTATAGCAGGCAATTACTAGAAGTCACAACTACAACAACAACTCAAATAGCCATGTACTTAGTCCAGGCATGTGAAGATCAACTTGTTTCAGCCTCAAAAATCATATTTTGATTCATAATAGGAGCACCAAAGTTTAAAAAAAATAAATACATTTTATAAGCTTTTTAATTTTTATATTATTCATTAAATATTTTTATTTTTTACTTTCATTTTAGGGGCTTCTGTTTTAAAACGGAACTGTCCTCAATCTCATTCTGCAGCCCCTGTTATAAGTGAACAGGAATCCTCTATACTGAGTGTTCCTGTTAATTTATAACATGTGGAGATAGTACGTTTACTATAACCACAATCATGAATGAACAGGAGGTGATGTAGATCACTCCCATTCATTCATAATTGAGCATACAGTAAACATACTCTGTCCTCAATTATTTACAAACACTCACTGATCGCTGACTGCTTGTACTCGCTCTCCATCCCGACATCTTTCACAGGAGGCTGAGCGAGCGGAGCTCACCCTCCTGTGACAGTACTGGCTCTCCTCTGATCTGTGACAGGAGGTGGAGCCGTGCGGGGAGGAGAGACGCCGGCCGCCACAAGCGCTCACCTCCCGCAGCGCTCAGCCGCCTGGACAATTTCTCTCCTCCGCACTGGGAAGCAGGTGGGAGGAGAGAAAGAACGGATGCATCGCTGTATTGGCCAGAAAAAGTTTATGAACCCAACTGGTAACTTCATCTGTGCCTTTTAAATATCAATTTTGAATGGACTAATACTTCAAGTTTTGTTTACTGTCAAAAAGGTACAGAGGAGCAAACTTTAACCCTCACTTTATTTTGACTTTGATCTATTTTTATAGCTTATGAATTAGGGATGCACCGAAACATATCGCCAAAAGTGCCATCTCGTCATCAACTTGATCGCCTTGCAGGTCTGTTCCCACAATACAACATACATTGAAAAATTCAATAGACAGTGAGAATGGCCTATAAAAAGGTTATGACCGCTGCAGACCTGGAGCTTGCATACAAACATCTGACCACCAGAAAATCCTGTGGATACCGCCACCACTGCCAGCATTTTATCGCCTATTCATAAATGCAGCCCATGGAGTTCCACTAAATACTCTCTGCATAACAAAGTAGAGAGCTCAGTGATTGGCGGAGACCAAGTCATGTGACGAGGGTTGTCCTGGTTCCCCAACTTATAGTGCAATAGGGCTCCAACTAATTAATTTTCATAATCGATTCGTTGGCCGGTTATTTTTTCTATCGGATAAAAAAAAATGTCATCCTTAATTTAAAATAAAACAAATGCAGTGTTACAAAGTTAAACTTCAAAATTAAAAAAACTGCATGCACAATTTTTTGCAATCGCACTGCGCTGGAACGCTCAGCATTATGGTACCGTAAGGCTGAGTTCAAACCTGGGCGTTCGTAATATGCCAGCGCATTTTTAGCGTGATTTTCTGTACACGAAACGCGTGTTTATGAAATCTCTATTAAGAAGTCCAATGGACACGCACTGTAATCTGCCCCAAAGTAGCTCAAGTACTATTTTGCACGTAAGGTGTTTTTCAGCGTGACAAAACGAGCTGAATATGCCCAGGTGGGAACCATACCCATTGCAATTAATAGGATTTCACTTCTTGAGCGTTTTTCAGCGCTTCGATCAGCGCTGAAAAACGCCCAGGTGTGAACCCAGCCTAAGTTCCAGTGCAGGCAATCACACTATGGGTGGGTGGCGTGTTTGGAGTGCCATTAAAATGAACGGCACTGCAACGCACTTCCCGCAGCAGAATTTGTCCGGCTGAAACTGAAAATAAACTTTTCGGACACAGATTTTTTTTGTAATAATTGTATTGTAAGCACATGGCGCATAGCTTCAGCCAGGGAACGACAGCTGCCAGTGGCAAGATTCCGCAGATGGCAGCTGAATGCAAATACAGCAGGCAGTGGGCGGGTGCAATAGCCAGCCTGCTATTGGCCATTTCAAATTGCAACCTGTAGTTTCCAAAAGAATGCCACAGTCAAGAGTGTAAAAGTTAACACAGCTCTAGGCCCCCTTGTGCCAGTTATGTAATCAAAAACCTGCATTAGGTCATCTGATACCTGCCAAGTAGGGCTGCAGCTAACGATTATTTTCATAATCGATTAGTTAGCCGATTATTAAGTTCGATTAATCGGATTTTTTTAAAATGGCTCCAGTGATGGACTTCTATTTTCTATTGAGCTGTAGTCCATCACGGGAGCAAGCCTGGGAGCGGTGGAAATAAAAAAGAAAAAAAACAAATGTGGTGTGCAATATAGTGAAATGAATAGTGTAAAATGATACAGCAATAAATGCAGAATCGCACCGGCGTGTGGTGTGCAATTTTTACATTATAAAGCGGCGCAATGCAGAATACCAGCAGCTATAGAGGAATACAGCAAATCGCAGCAATAGTACATTATACTATAATGGGCTATTGCTGGGATTTGTAGTCCTCTGTAGCTGCTGGTATTCTGCGTTGCGCTGTATAATGTACTATTGCTGGGATTTGTATTCCTATATTGCGGTTGGTAGTCTGCATTGTGCTGTATAATGATTATACGGCGCAATGCAGAATACCAGCAGCTATATAGGAATACAAATGCCAGCAATAGTACATTATACATACACTGTATAATGTATTGCTGGGATTTGTTGTCCTCTATAGCTGATGGTACATATACAGCAAAATGTACCATCAGCTATAGAGGACTACAAATCCCACTACCCCGGCAATACATTAATACAGTACCATGTGGGGGGGATGCAGGCTTACCCGAGCAGCTTGTGGGCCTGTCTGGCAGCTGCCCTCCTCCATATGCCTGCTCTTTCCTTCATTGTGCCGATTGTGAATGGGCGGGCCGCGGCGGGGAGATGCGGCTTGCAGTGAGGAGAAGCGGCGAGTCCATATGGCGGGGAGGAGTCGTGCGGTGGGGAGATGCAGCGGGGAGGGCCCAGTCACACCAAGAGTGCGGCGAGTGAGGGAGCTCATTGCGAGGAGAGGAGCAGTGGCTTCAGCGTCGTGTGACACGGCGGGTCATGTGTGGAGCCCCGAACAGGCTAACCAACCAGAGCCGACTAATCCACTATCGAAAAAGTTGACAACGTAATTGATTAACTGTGGCAGCTCTACTGCCAAGTACAAACTAGCCGATCTTCCCTTGGAACAAGGATCACAGCACCAAATGCCCTGGCTTTTCACACAACCCTGTAGAATAAGGTGCACAACAAACATTTAGGGCCCATTTACAGCATGACAACACATGCTTTATTGTTGTTGCATGCTGCATTAAGAAGCCCAATAGAAATAATTAGACTGCACCGCATGAAAATAGGCACTGTGCATGTTTTTTGCAGCATTAAAGATACAGTACACTCAGCGCTGTGCAGCTGCCCCTTCGTGTTTGAGGTGTGTTGGGGTGCCAGTCCCATCCACAACAAATAGCACTGCAACACACCAATGCGTGCAACCCAAGTAGTGTGAATGGACTACTGAATTTTTTGTTGCGACAGTCAGTTTTGGTAATGGCCTTAAATAACAATTGTGTAACCAGTCATATATGGACTCCAGTAATACATTCTTGCTCACATACCAGATTGACAGGCTACAACTATATACATGATTTTTAAGAAGTGAAGTCACACATACTAGATGATGAAAACAACTATTTTGCCCATGTTCTGTGAACACAAACATTAATCAAGGTACCAATTTCATTTTCTTGCCAATGTTTTGTAGTTGTTGAGAATACCTTAAATTTGTACAAAAATGCCATCTAGGCATGGCTTGCCACAATAGGTTTACACTGCCCACTCGAAGATCTTCTATCACACTGGAAAACCTCAATACCAATGAAATTGATAGATGCTGAACTGTGCTGGAGAAGTTGCCCATGGTACTGGAAAATTGATCAATCACCTATACAAAGCATGAAATCCTATTACTCTGGATGTTCCCCCGTACAACATTACAAAGCTTAGAAATTATGCTTATAGGGGGCAGGGGAGCTCTGCATATCGACAGTCAAGTTTCTTATTAGCAAGATGCTCATTTACTCGAGTAAAGTTACACACGAATGCCAGGATGCTCCAATCTTTACAAAATTGGAATCAAAATACTGCCAAGGTGAAATATCTAACATCAGATTCAGCACAGGTTGTCTTTCTGCCACACCAATATAAAGAGAACCACTCCAATTCTTGTGAAAGAAAGAGCAATCTCACATTAGAAAAATAGCTTGTGCTATGCTGATGTTTTTCCAACAAACAATGAATATGGAGTTGACACATGGTTAGACAACAAACATTTCATGTTCTTCTATGGCTAAGTGGTACATTGTAAACCAATGTGCTCCAGTTAAAAAGGTACCTACCAGGGCTCTCTACTCGCTTGTAGTGGTAAGGATTAATGCAGACTTCTTTCTGTTTAGAGCCAAAGGGATATTCGCAGCATTCCAAGGGCTTGAGTTCATGATGGCTCTGTAAATCCGGCCAGCGCCACACTCGACAGTAAATGACATGTGGGAGGCCCTTTCGATGTGAAACCTGCAACCTGCCATCTAGAGAGCGGGGAATGGTGACACAATTACTGGGCTGCCCAGGACAACTCAGGGCTTTCTCCAGCTCCTCCATGGCTCCTTTCTTCTTCTTAAGCTTTTTTACTAATGCATCCACTGCTTTTTCAGCCCATTTTTCCTCCTCATCTCCCTGTTTCCATCCAAGCAGTCTCTTCACGGCAGGGCTAGTAAAGGAAAATAAGCTGGTCACATTCATTGTGACTAGCCCAAATGTCAAAGAGGGCTCAGAAAATTGTCCGGTCCAACCTTATAGAAATACTGATGCTTCCGTTCCTTGTATCTTGGTTAGAAGACCAATTCCAGTACGGGAGTCACAGTCTCAATGTCCCAGTAAACCAGCAGCATCTAAAAGGAAACACAAAATATGTATATATCAGTTAGGGAGGGACCGAAATCCAGATGTGAGGTTTCATCATCTGGCAGAATCCAAGAGTACTGAACATATTGGCTGCTGCACAGCATATATCCACAGTGAGAACACAACTCCCCTGAGAATTTAGTGACCTGTGCTTAGAAAAGGTCAACTTATTCCCCTCAATTTGTGCTATTCTTAGTCTCACTTAATCATATCAATAGCCATCATAAAATTTCAGATGCACAATGACATTCCATAAATCATAAATAAATCTGCAAATGCAGCATGCTATCAAAGCTACATTTCACAGGATTCTAGATTCAAAAAGCGCAACAGAAGGGCAATAGAAAAATCCTCATAATAAAAATAAAAAAAACACACCTATTTGGAATTACAATATATACCTAACCCACCCTGATTAATTGCAGTAATCACACAGGACGTGAACATTTCTCAACATCCACAGAGCAGGTATGAATTTGCAACAAAGTTTCCTAAAAAATCCTTTTAAGATGAATAAAGCTGAACAAAAACTTAGAATATAGTTTGTGTGGCTTAATTACTAACCTCTGCAAAAGGGGTGACCTCTGCAAAAATCACTGCCCATCTGCCCTTTTAATGGTATCTGTACATCAGAATCCATGTATTGCAGCACATGTGTAAATTACCATTTGTTCAAAGAAGCAGCACATGGATTTACAACATACAAAAAAAAAAAAAAGTTAGCCTCCAGGATCAAAGTGGGCCTGCAGTATGTATAACCATGACTGAGGCCTTGTTCACACCAAGCGCGGAGCAGAGCAGTTGCAGACTGGATCAAAACTGCATCCAATGTATTCCAATGGTATTCTTTTCTCCAGTTTACATCGCAGCATTCAGTTCCAGAGCAGGTCCACAGCAGGTGAAAAAACTGCAACAAGCCCTATTTTACCTGCAATGGAAAGCATGCAAACGCATTAAAAAAACACATGCAAATGCCTGGAACGCACTGAAAGCCCATGTTAAATGGCCCGGAACGCATCAAAAACGCGGCACAACCCACTGCACTGCGTGTGCAGAAACCTGAGCGGATCTGCTCTGCATTTGGTGTGAACAAGGCTTAAGCCTTACATGCAAGTCTGTTCTAAACTGATGCATTAGGTGAAAGCAGGATTCCCAGGGGCTACAACACTACTACCATCTAACCATGATAGTCGAGTAGTTTTCATCCTTTAGGCTACATTCACAACAGAATGATTTGTAGAGCATTGTAACACAGACATGTATGTATACACTGTAAAAAAGATCCAGTTGAAAAGGAGAATTATGGGATGAGTGAAATACAATCATCCCCATAGTTAGAGCAGACGTGTGACACTACAGCTGTCATACGTCGGCTCTATTGATTGAGAACTGAGCGATCAACACACCGCTGATCACTATTCCTGATCTTCCCCCTGCAAAGAGAAGTGACTGTCCATCACCGCACCCTACAGGGATTCCCCCTTCCCTCTCCGATCCTCCAGTGCTGACTGAGGGACTGAGGGACCGGGGGGCGGTGGGGCATCTGGGGGAGAGTAAAGCTCTAGAGAGGCAGAGGCAGCTGTCAATCAGGCAGCAGGGTGGAACCTGACAAATCCTGGGATCCCTCCCAGCTGCAGCGTGGTTCTGCGGTGTCAGCATATTACTGTAAATGTAAAGTTAATGACCTCCGGTGACACTAAAGAGAACTATAAGCCAAAAAATGTTCAGTTACAGTTCTCTTTTAACTGATTGAATGACGAGATTCAGGTCAGCAGGAGACCATTTTACCCCCATAAGCATTTGTAAAGAAACACTTACATTTTGACTTCAACTGTCTGTAGCACTGTTTACATGTTTGAAGATGAACTCCAGGCACACAGCTAAATACATATATTTGTGTTATACCTACCAGAGGATTTGTATTTCTGCCCATCCAGTTCTAGGTTTAAGGCCCTGCCAGACAGCACACTCAGATTGGTGACCTGACATTTCACTCCTGCAGTTAATACAGCTTTATCACTTTCATTCCACCAGCCTGGGAATAGTCTGCAGCAAGTAGAAATAGTAAGCCAGGCTTGACAAAAGTCAAGATATCACAGGGTAACATGTGTTTTTCCTAATGTGGAACAAAAGAAATGCGAGAGCTCCACTCCATCAGGAAGAGCAGTGCCTGCGTTCTATACCACAATAATCTTTATAAAAAAAAGGTGGAATGTATATGTAGACTCGGAGGGCCAATTGCCGCCACATAATCAGGGCTAGGAGTCATTCAGTATAAATTATAAACAAATTTCATGGGAACATAAATATAACCATCACCTGGCTATATCTCAAACTTTGTCTCAAAGTATCACCCTAAGGCCTTGTTCACACTAAATGCAGAGCAGATCTGCATGTGTTTCTGCACACGCAGTGCAGTGGGTTGTGCTGTGTTTTTGAAGCGTTCCTGGCCATTTTGGTAAAAAAAATAAAAAAATGTTTGTTTAAAATGGGCTGTCAGTGCATTGCAGGGCGTTTGCATGCGTTTGATGCATTCACATGCGTTCCAGAGCAGGTAAAATAGAGCCTGCTGCAGTTTTTTTTACATGCTCTGGAACGGAACGCTGCCATGTGAACTGGAGCTAAAATTACCATTGGAATACATTGGACACAGTTTTGCGCCGGTCCGTAACTGCTCTGCTCCGCGCTTGGTGTGAACAAGGCATTACCGTTTCCTTCTGCTGTTCTACAAACCTCCTGCTTTGCAGCTCCCTCATCAACTCCTCGCATGCTCGCCTCCAGGACTTCTTTAGAGTCTCTCCCATCACTTCCCCCCCCCTCCTCCTTTTTAGATTGGAAGCCCTCAGGGGCAGGGCCCTCCTTACCATCTTGTCTTGAATTGTGTTGCGACTAATGTCTTCCTTATATTGTAAAGCGCTGCACAAACTGTTAGCGCTATATAAATCCTGTATAATAATACCAACCACTGCTTGACCTGTCACAGCTCACCGACGTCATCATGTACAAAGCAGCATCAAAAAAAGGTTTGGCTGGAGTTGGGTTTTATTGCTACTAGGTTAGCCAAGCAGGAAGGATCAGTTAAAAGTTAAAGGGTTCATCCATCAAAAAAGACATTTGCATAGATGCCAACAGGCTGAAATCAACCATCAGGTTCATAGACTTTTTGGTGGAACGTTAATGGCGAGATCTTTGAATTCCCACCTGCCCTCATCTGCCATAGGCATGAAAAGAGGGCCTCACACTACACTCCTGTGTGACTTTCCAATAATGACACATTATAGAGATTGCAGGAAGAGCACACAGACCTCCTGGTGTAACGAGGAGCGAGATTATGGCAGTAACTTCAGCAGAGATCGCACCACTCTCCCCAAAATGACACAAGCAGCCAGCGGGTGACTTAGCCAACCAGATTCTATCCATTACAAAAATATTCATAAGAAGTGTTCTATTGTTTTACCAGATATAGAAACTGTTTTTTTTCCATATATGAAAACCTGGCGGGCAGCAAGGGGTGTAATCAGCTGGCCTTTGTGTGGCTGTGACCATCCTTAACACCCAGCCTAAATAATGGAGGAAGTGCTTGTTTAAAAGACACAAAAGAACAAAAATTCCTTATTCTTCCCAGCGGAGGGGTTCAACAATTGGGCGTGTGGTGTGGGACTGAGTGTTGCTCTGCAAAAGGATACAGCTTGGAAAGATGTTTCCTTTGATGCCTGAGAGCAGTATGGATGCCTTTCCGCTGCACAGGGCCCTGATTAAATTATGCAATTAGAGCTGAGTAGACAGATCTATATATAGAGGCTATCCTGCTTTTGTGCTTCTCAACATACACACCCACACAGATGTGCATTTTGGGTGAAATCCGAAAAAAACACAACACCTGTTTTCCACAGACAGTTCAAGAAGTCAGGGAGGAGGCAAATGTGTACGCCATGCGTGCAGGAAAATAAGGGTGGGGGGCCTTCCACTTTATGTTTAATACAGGACGCTTTCCACATGAGGTGGATGTCTGTTTACTTAGGATGAGATGATAATACACAGATGGGACGCTTGCATAAACATTTTACTGCAGATGTGTAAGATACTAAGGGAGGGGATAGGTTGCCTTATTACTTCATTTTTTCCAATGGATGACATTTTAGAATGAATCGTTCACATAAGCTGTTGCAGGACAAAGTGTCAAACCACAGCAATAAAAAAAAAAAAAACACAATTTTAATGTGGCAAAAATACATAATTTTAGTCTCAACTAATGTCCAGAAACATCAAAGATGGGCAGAGCAGTTCCTGTGTAAAATGACACTTGCAGATAGACTGCAAATGTCATTCAGTAATACAATGACACAGTATTGTTACATTGTAGTTACCATTTCATTCATATGTAAGTCAAAAGATATAACCTTTGACCTGCTTATGTCAGGAAAAAAAAAAATGAATACACACACGTTAGTGAGCAGCGTGACCGATATTAGCCTAGAAGTCACTGCTTCTCCTTTCACTGTACAATCACAGGATGGGAGTGAGGAGGTGACCTGTAAGGTTTACTAAACTGCAGCAGAGGTCGCATGCCCTGCCAGACAGTGCAGTACAATGTGGCAGAGCTGTGTAAAAAAACAAAAACAAAAATCACAAATAGATGGAAAGAAATTCAAATAATTTGGTGGCAACACATGTAATTCATCCATGTATTTAGCCCTTTGTCTAAAGTTTCTTCAAAAGGAAACATTTAACATCTATAGCTAGATCTAATCAAAGCTTGGCCATCATACCGAATCCACATATACATCACCAAGACAAATAATCACAATCACTGTATTTACAGGACATTTAATGTGGCACATTTGCTCAGATACTCCTTGTGTATTTACAAAAAGCAACGTCCGACTGACTGCTCCCAAATACTGAACCCTAGGCAAACTGCTAAAACCTGATGAAATGTATACATGGGAGCAGTTTAAAGTGACAGTCAAAAAAAATGTTTCCCTCC